AATTGTTCATAACTTTAAATGCTCGTATCTCATTCTTTCTAAATGAATTTTGATGATCTTTTTATGAATTTAAAGCTTATAATTTTTACTTTTACTCCAAAAAATTGGTAAATATTTGAGTACCACATGAAGAGAATATACTCGAACTAAGATATATTGAGTTGATTTTACAAATTTGTTCTTTCATTTGTTATGGATTAAAATCTTTGATATTGATTATGAAATTTATAGGGTAAACTATAGTAGACCCCCCAACCTATAGGGTCATTTACGATTCCATACCCAATTTTGGGAACATTTATGAGTACATACTCAATGTCGTAGAAAACCTACAATTTGCCCCTTCCGTTAACGAAGTCGTCAGAAAATTCGTTATCTGCCTATGTGGCATTTATGAGACCTATTTTTTAATTGATGTGGACTTATAGGTGGACAAATAAATAATAAAAAATTATATATGTGTAAAAGATAATTTTTAAATAATATTAAAATCATTAAAAATGAAAATAAAATAAAAAAAATCTCATCTCTTTTCTCCAACCCAGACAACCACCCCGACCACCTTGCCCACCCCTTCCTAGACCCTCTCCATCTCTACCCCACCCCCCCTCTCCGTCGCAGCCATCATCTTGCCCAATTGCTTATAATCCCTCTGTTTCGTTATTGTGCAAACCAAATTTTGTGAATCTAACACTGAGAACCTCTTTGATTCTTCCAAAAAGATGAAACCCCAAGTTCAGCTCAGTCGAATTCCACTACCCAGATCCAAAATGAAGCATTTGAATGAGTATACAAAACACATCACAGAGTGCAAATGACTGTATTTCATCACAATTTTAAAGAAAAACCATTTGTTCTGTTTCATTCAACCAAAACATACACTCAAATCTACTTTCTCAGCATCCAAACAAAGCCAGAAAGCAAGAAAAGAAGGGCAACCCATTAAAACCCGTTACTTTCTAGGCAAATTTTGCAAAACTTTGAGATCTGGGTTTGAGAGAATCCATGGTTTCTTAGAAGCCCCAAAATGGACGCAGGCCATCGTTACTGCTCTGTCGGCTTCGAATTCTCACTCTGATCCGCTCGAAACGGCATTGTCACCTTCCTCCTCTCCAGCGTGCCTTTCCTTGTACTCAGAGACAGCATCGGCTTCACTTTACTCACCTGGAGCGAATACGACTCGCCTTGAAACGAAACCGATAAGCTCCTCCTTGAAGTGAACAAGAGCTTCTGAGCCGCAGACATTTCGCCGCCGCCAGAGCCACCATTCACAACTTGATCCCATGAGATCTGGGTTTGAGAGAATCCATGGTTTCTCAGAAGCCCCAAAACGAAGTTTGCATTTTTTGAGGACTGCAACTTGGAAGTTGAAATCACATCTTCTGGCGACAACCATGGTTGAGGTCGATAATGATCAATTCGGAAAATTGAAAACCCCCAACCCAAGCAACGATCAATCCTTAATTGGGAGGCCGAGGAATGAAGATGGCGATCGTAAGGTCTCCGAGGGAAGCAAGAGGAAGAGGCAGTTGATGAGGATAGAGAAATTGTTTTCTTTTGATTTTTGATTTTTAATTTAATTGAATAATATTATTTACTTGTTTATAATTATTTTTAAATAATATAGAATTTTTTTAGTATTTATTTGTCCATCTGTAAGTCCACCTCATTATAAAATAGAACCCACATTCGCCACATCAGCATTTAACAGATTCACTAACGGTTTGGTTAGGAGGGGGCAAATTGTATGTTTTCCGCGACGTTGAGTATGTACTCATAAATGTCCCCAAAATCGGGTATGAACTCGTAAATGACTCTATAGGTTGGAGAGTTTACTGTAGTTTACCCAAATTTATTCCATGGACAATTATTTTTCCACTTTACTTATAATTGACAAATCCTCAAGGAAAACCTCGAAACTGCACAACACGCACAAACATGTCCATGGAAAAATTGGATATAGTCCATTAGGGGGAATGCATTTCCTTCTAGTTGGCCACATCTTGATTTTTGTTTAAATTATCTATTAGATTTTTATTTTTGTTTCATGTGGTTATTTTGTGGTAACTCTATTTTGTGTGTGTGTGCTTAAAAGCAACTCAAGGAATTTGCAGGTATAAATGTAATTTGAAAGAAAGATTTGTAGAAGCCTAATGTCTATTTTATATACAGACTTAGTGCTCGTTTGATATTTCTTATTTGGGGTGATAAGTGATTTTTTAAAATTTTTGGGAAGCCCAGGCTGTTTGGTAAACTATGAGAAAATCACTTATTCTTAAAAATTACTGGAAGGGAAAGCAGCTAATGAGGTGCTTTCATTTCTGATTATGCATGAATCAGTTTCGAAGAGGCACTGGGTTTAATGATTATGCGGGAATCATTTTCTGATTATTTGGGAAATAGTACCAACAACACTTTTAACAAAAAGTTTGCCAAACGTCAAACTGCTTTGTCTCGCATTTGATTTCTCTCACAGCAAATCTGACAGCGATTATTTTTAGAGCACAACAACGCCAAACTGGCCCTTAATCATTTCAATAGCAAGATCTAAGGAAAAGGGTTGACGTTATGCTAATTTGGGATAACATGAAAAAAGTTATTGGGGTTTTGCAGAGTGTTGTTTTCAAAATATAAAAAGTTTCGTGGTCAATTTTAGCTTGCAATGTTGTTTCTTCCATGAATCATAGATGATATGAATACCATTTAATTTTAAGGATATGTTTTATCTAAAATAAATTTGAGAACTTTTACACGTGACCATCTGAAGAAAAATTCATGGAGCTACCACTAGTCCTAGAGGCTAATTTATTTGAATAGTTGGCTGGAGAGTCGAGTGGAGGCGAGACAGAGGTCAGGCCAAACTTGGGCTGGGATGAATTAAAAATCTAAAGCCCAGTCTGCCCATGATTTGGGACCGGACCGACCCATATTCCAGAAACTTAAACCAGTTTGGGCATTTTATTGGCCTACATGGAACCATGTTGACAGTTTCTAATTCATATTTCTCTGATTTCTTATTTAATTTTTTTATAAAAAAAACTGGCTCTTCTTGCGGCACACACATATATAGGGGTGGACACGGTACAGTATTGAGTCCGTACCGCTACCGATACCGGAAATTTGAATCGGTATGGTACGGTACGGTATTATGGTTTGCCAAAATTGGTACCGTACCGTACCATGCCAAATCGGTATCGGTACGGTATCGGTACCATTTCGGTACCAAAATGATACAACTAAAAAATGAACTAATTCAATATTCAACACCAAAATAAGTGATGCCTAAGTTACAAATTCAAAGATTCAACATATTCAATATCCATCAACATTTTCAATATTCAATATCCATTAACATATTCAATATCCAAATCCTAATCAACATATTCAATATCCAAATCAACCAAATCAATATTTATCCATCAACATATTCATCAAATCCAAATGGTTAAAACTCATGCATTATGGCTTACAAACCAAAAGAGTTAAACTTATGCCTTATGGCTTACAAAAATACAAACACAATCCAAACATAAATGACAAAAGCGTTTGAGAAATTGAAAGGCAAGCGAGAGACAGAGAGCGAGAGAATGAAAAAAAATAATTTATATTTCAATAGAGTACTATTTGGTACGGTACGGTATTGACCGGTATCAAAATCTTGATACCGCTACCATACCATACTCGATTGGTACGGTACGGTACGGTACCGAATATCTATCGGTACCAAATGAAACGGTATGAAATCGGTACTGTACGGTGCAGTTAGGGTACGGTTTCGGTATTTCGGTTTAAGATGCCCACCCCTACACATATAGCATGAACCAGGAGAGAAAATAGCCATGCGTTGCTATGAACTTACCAATATGCCCCTAAACTTTTTAGTCCCTCCTTAGATAATTCCGATCTTTTTTGGTTTTTGACCTTATCTCACTATCACGGCTAGGATCTCCTAACTTACAAACCTTGGGCGCACCGGATTCCCGTTCTTTTGCCTATAAAACTAGCGTTTTTGGGCTTATACAAACCCAGATAGCTTCCAGACTCTTCGTCGAATTGTTAAGATTTTAAAAGAGTTTAAAAGTTTGGTTGTATTTAATTCAGATTTTAAAAGAGTTTGTAAAAATTTGGGTGTATTCAATTCAGATTTCAATTGATATTAAAAAAATACATCGAAATCTAGGTGTATTCAATTATGACTTTTTAAAAGTCAAACAAAATTTAGGTGTATTCAAAAAGTAATTTATTTTGAAGGAATTAATAAGTTGCCCAATTTCGTTAGAAAATAAAGTGGGAAGTATAAATAAAAAAGGCTTTGACAAATCTTATGTGAACCCTAGAAACTTTGAACGTGCTCTACGCTTTCCAGTCCTTGAACGTGTGTGCTTGTCAAGTGGAGGTAAAAAATCTATTCTCTTTTTCTACGCTTTGTACGCTTTCTAGTGCTTGAATAATTGTTGTTGCTATACATCATCATATATCCAAGCAATTGTTGTTGCTTGTACTCGATGCACATCATGTATGAATAGTTGAATAGTTATTGTTGCCGTCATATATCCAAGCAATTGTTGTTTCTACTTTTCCGTCATATATATCCAAGCAATTGCACATCTTGTATTCGATGCACATCATATAACGTGTGTGCTTGTCAAGGTTTGCTGTTAATTTTTTGTTGTTGTTGCTGTTATTATTAACTTTTTGTTTTTAGTTGCTGTTGTTTTTTTGTTTTTGTTTCTATGCATCATGTCATATAGATGATAGCCCTCTTCATCGATCTATGTTCATCCTTTTTTTTTTTGGGTACAATATCTATGTATATCTAGTCCATGCCAAAACAAAAAGGAAAAAATTATCTTCATATATAATTTTTTTTTTCTTGTGAACTAATTAAAGATTGCATGTATTATCTAGTAACATTATAAATGGGAGATTCACAACAAGGAAAAGGAAAAACACCTTATAACCCATGGACCTCGAAAGAAAGCAATATGCTGTTAGAACTAATGGTTGATGCTGCCAATCGTGGATGGCATGATTCTAATGGTTTACTAAGCAAGCAAATAGTAGAAAGCAAGATACTTCCTGTTCTTAATGCAAAACTTGGATGCCAAAAAACTTATCATCAATATCAAAGCCGTCTGAAATGGTTTAAGACAAGATATCAGAGTTTTACTCAGCTTATGCGTCATAGTTCTGGATTTGGGTGGGACTCCATCTCAAAGAAATTCGCAGCTACTGAAGAAGTATGGCAAGATTACTTTATAATGATAACTTTCACTTTCGTACTTTTTGCATGTTTTTAATTTTTTTATTGTTTTATTTTTGGTTTTTGCTAGTCTCATCCAAGTCAAGTGCATCTTCAAAGAGATACATTTGCAGACTATAAGGATTTGGTAATTGCAATTGGCAATGGAACAGTTGCTGGGAAAAACTCAATTGGACTTGGTGATGATATTAATGCTAGAACGTATGAAGTTGGAGAAAGTAGACCTACCAAATTGCAGGATTCCAATGAGGCATTTGTACCAAGTCAAAATGAAACATCATACCAATCTATGTCATCTAGTAATTTTACTTCATCACATTTTCTGGACACAAATTTGGATGCTCCATTAGAAAATCTCCCTCAAAGAAAGAAACCTAAAATTGAGTCTGAAGCAAATAATAATTCAGTTGAGACCATAACTCGAGCTGAACTGGTAGAAAAAGTTTATGTGGGCATGGATTCAATTGCTGCAATTACCACTGAAATTCGAGGAATGCATAGCCTAATGGAGAAAAGAGAGAAAGAGAGAGAGAAAACCAACAATGTTTGGGATGCCATCAAGGAGACTCCGAACTTGGATAATCATACTCGTTACAAAGCACTTGGGCTGGTTCATAAGTTGGGAATGAAAAATGCATTCCTGAAAATGTTACCTGAAGAGCGCTCAAAGTGGATACTATACAATATGGAATGAGTGTGATTCTTGGAGATTATGTTTACCATTTTAGATTATGTTGAAACTTTGGTTTAAACTTTTTTTATCATGTTGGTTTAAAATATTTTTAAGACTTTGGTTTGGAAGTATTTACCATTTTGGAGAAGTGTTAAGACTTTATTAGTTTGGAATTTGTTGAACTTTGGTTTAGAATTAATTATTTGGGTAATGTTTATATGTGTTACCTATGTATTGCTTGTGTTTTATGTGCCTTTATGCTTTTTCAGTTTTGTCTTTTCATTAATGATATTTTATTTTAATCTATATAGTTATTTACAACTTTAGATGTGCACTTCAGATTTTTTTTGTTATTAATGGAGATGGAAGAAGTAGATGCAGTACTATGGAATGAAGAAATCGAGGAAGAAAAATGATAAACAGACCCAAAAGAAAAAGAAAAAAAAGAAAAAAACATTTTAGAACTCTAATAAACTCTTTTAAAATTTATGATAAAACTCTAACAAACACCATTAAAATCAATTTTGGAATTCAATCAAACTCTATGTGGAGTTTATAGAAATCAATTGAAATATATTTAACTCTATAAACTTTATTACTCCATTTAAATCTTTTAAAATCTTAATTGAATACACCCCCCTAAATCTTTCTAATTTTTGCCGACTCAAAGCCCTAATTTTCTGCCATGCCTCGTCGATCAGGAGGTTTGTGCTCTCCATTATTTTTGTTGATAAATGTATGCATGTTGTTAGGATTCTGTGGGTTTCTAATTTCGAAGAGAATGGAGATTCTAGGGTTTGTCTGTATTTTTTTTAACAAATTTGTTTTTATGGATTTTCCTTTATTACGAAAGGAAAGGGGTTGTTGTTGCATTTATCCGGCTTATTCTTAACTGTTTGCTTGTAAAGAGACAGTTTTAATGTGCTATAAACACCACTTGTAGGTCGTTCTGCCCGTCCAGCTCCAGCTCCAGCTCCTCGTCATGCACCAGCACGCAACCCTCCTCAGACAGGTGCTTATTTGAAACGTTATAGTTGAAATGGATTTTATTGTAATAAGATATTGTCCCTCTTACCTCTAATTATGTTATTTTCTTGATGTGATCAGTCAAACAAGCTCCTCCTCCGGCTCCAGTTCAGGGAGGAGGTGGTGGAGTTTTCTCAGGACTTGGATCAACCATAGTTCAAGTTAGATGAAATTCATCAGGTTGCTTGAAGTGGTGCATGTGCAATCATTCAATTCCGTGTAGGATGTCTGATTTTCCCCTTCTGTTGCAGGTATTGGTTTTGGGACTGGAAGTGCTGTGGCACACAGGTTTGTTGATGCTTTGATGGGTCCTCGCACTATTCAACATGAAACCGTAGTCTCTGAGGCTGCTGCTGCTGCTCCAGCACCCATTTCTAGCAGCATGACTGGGTCTGATGCCTGCAGTAATCACTCCGAGGCCTTCCAAGATGTATGCAAAACTCTACACCCTTTTCCTTATCTTTTCCTGAAAATTTAGCGATGCAAGTGAAGTGTTTGAATCTTTCTTTGTTCAGTTTATTGGGGGTGAGTAGGGGTTAGTAGACAATATCACCTTGTTTGTGTTTGAATTTTTGTTTTCTTGTTCTGTTATGAAGCATGTGTTTCGCGATTCCGAGGTCAAGGTTTGGCTTTGGCTTTGGCGAGGTCAAGGTTTGGATAATTGTGTAATGGTGTTCGTTTTCATGGAATGGGGTTTCACTTCTAACTAATGGAAAAATGAATTATTTTTACACAAGGGGTTTCATTTTTGTTTTATTTTATCATTAAACCCTATTGTTTCAAAACATTTTTGTAATGAATTTGGTTGAAATGAGGGGGTGGTTTCAGATCTAACTTTTGTTCGTGTTTTCATTGTAGTGTCTCAGCCACTTTGGAAATGATAACAGCAAGTGCCAGTTCTACATGGATATGCTGTCCGAGTGCAAGAAGAACTCTGCCTCCGGCATGTTGAGTGCCTAAGCTCTACCTATTTTTCCATTCAATGAACTGAAAGTGTTAAACTTTGCTCAGTTTATTCTTCCACGTACCCTGTGCCTGTCATGATGGTGAATTAGTGGTGTATTGTGGGGAAAGATTTATATGAATCTTTTATATGCATGGTAGAACATGCCGCATTAAGTAGTTGATCGAACTTGGTACTTGTTTGAAGTATCCATGTCCCTTACAATCTGTTCTGAAATAATGATTTTTTTGAGTTATGGTGGCTAATGTGGTTATGATTTAATAGAAACCCTCTCGTTTGTGGTGTTTTGCGCAAGATATACTCTGCTGAAATTTGCTATCTTCCCAGTTTTATCTCCTGACTTTTCCAGTTTTCTGGTCTGGCATTTGGATAGTACTAAAAATTTGCATGAAATAAACTGTATATTTCTTTTGTTTACGTCCTTTCTGGTCTCTGGAATACTGACCAAAACACAGTTCGTGATTTCCTTTTGGCAACTGAGCAACAAGAACATTATCGCTCATCACTACAAGAGTAACTTTGCCAACCTAATTATATTAAAGGGGTACCCTTTAATGTATTATTGGGCACCAAAAGTGTCCATACGAACTCCGTTTTTGGACACAAATACTCTTCCTCATTGATTTTTTGTTTAGTAGCGTTCATGAGTGCTTTCAAAGCTCTACCCACAGGGCTTGAGCCAAAGAGCTCAACCGATTGAGCTATCTCTACCCCCAAGGCTTGAGGTAAAGAGTTCAACTGATTGAGCTATATCTACCCACAGAGCTTGAGGTAAAGAGCTCAAACGACTGAGTTATACCCCACTAGTTATACCCCACTGAGTTATAGAAGCATACAATACAACCACAAACAGCCAGTACCTGATTATTTAGAACAAACATGGATTTGTTTCAGACATAGGAATAATACTAAAAGCTGTTTTAACAGAAGTAACAGAAGCATGCACGCCCAGTGAGCTGATATACTTGCAAGAGCGGCTCACTGCTACCTCCCATTCCCTGCATTTTTTTTTGTCCCAGTTGGAGTTATGAGTACAAACTCCCGACCATGTCATGCTCGGATGCTCCTCCTCTTGCATCCCTTCCCTTCTGCAACCGGTTTATGAGTATAAACCTAAACGGTAATTGTGTGTAATTGGTTTCATTCTTTCTTAATTGCTTCATAGAGATCCGGCTAAACAAGAAATATGAGGTCTGCCTCATGTACAAAGTTGAAAAAAGTAGAAACAAAATTTAGCTCAAGATTTTGTCAAGAGTCTCATGGTTCACTAGAAAAACGAATGGTCTACCAAACAATTTTGAGAACCTTCAATAGGTGGATCTTAAGTAAAATTTAGTTGACCATTTAGTATTCTGTTGTTGACTTATTAATTAAGGGAATTATGAAGTAGACTTGGGGCCGAAGCTGTATGTTTGAAGCGGATCAAATCAATAAGCAATAATTAGGGAACAGAAAAGAAAAGAAGATTTACACACGTCCAGTTTTCCCTACTGTTTATACGCGTTTTTCCCCCCCATTTTGACCCCACATAGAAAAATGACGTGGCAAGGACCCATTGAACCAAGCTTTGGGCTTAAAAATATAAGTATCCAAGCCCAAAGCGAAAACAAGGGTCGGACTTACAAACCATCTCTTTGCTTTCATGAGCGTCATTGATTGTTGGGGCTGGTACGTCGCGCAAAGCACTCACACTAAGAAGGGCGACTTTGTTCCCAAATCCACTCGTCCCGTGGATTATTTTATTCGAGATAATCCTGTGGTTGGCGAAAAAGATTTTGAGGTCAACACCAAGAACTTTGGAAAATTATTTTTTTACTTTTTTTTCCTTAATTACAAGAACTCTTGAGCATCACTATAGATGCATAGCTGAAAAGTCAAAACAAATTCTGGAGGAGAAGAGAATGCATCAGCCGGTAGCTTAAACAACCTTCCATAGGGCACTAACTGCAGTGGCGGCCCTGAGGGTGGGCAGGGAGGGCGATGGCCATGGGCATCGCATTTGTAGGGCCCCAAATTATATACATTATATATGTACCAAGTTGAAGAATATGATTTTAGAGGAGAATAATTTCAATAGTTTGGCATTTGGAGCCCCAAATCTAATTACAAGTGTTTCTGAAGAGTCCAAATGAAAATCATGTAATATACAAACATCAATTGCATATATTTAAGTATTTAATTGCCAAAAAGTATTTAATTGCTAAAAGTAGCAATCAATGAAAGAAAGCAAGGGACCAGAAATTCTTTTATTTATCCAAAAATTCTTGTTAGTAGATTATTTAGCGAGGAAATATGAAAGAGTGGAGCGGGATGTCAGTGATCAGTCCCGCTAGAATGTATTCCTAAAAAGACTTCGTTAGTTTTCAGGATTAGCAAGAACACTTGCACGCCAAAATCCAGTGGGAAAGTTCAAGAAAAGGCACGAGATCCATTTCATCATATTTTGAGATTTTATCTTCCTCTGGAATTGCTCTTTTGGTGCAAGAACTAGAATAGGCTATGCTTGGCGAGATCTCCGCTATCGGGCAAAGAATATCTCCAACTATTACAAATACCGGATTTGAGGTGACCACAGGTTGCTTAGGAGGGTCTATTTCAATGACACCATCATTTAAGAACTTTTGGATCTGATTTTTAAGAACCCAACAATCTTCTATCGGATGACTAATAACCCGATGGAATTAGCAGTATTTGGGATCTCCTACTCGTCCCACCTCATCTGGTCTCTTAGGTTCGGGAAGCTCGATCAACCCTTGCTCTAATAAAGATGTGAAGAAATCTTCAACATCCTCATTTCGAAAGGAATATTTTTTGATTTTTCTTTTTATTTTTCCCCAGCGGGATAAATAAAATATCTTGTGGGGGGGCCCACCTCCCTTTCCCCCCCTCCCATGGCCGAAAGCCTTGGTCCGTGCTTCTCGACCACGGCCTCTCTTCTCGATTGAAGCACTGCTATTCCGTCGCTAAAACTCATGAAGGCCCACCCACAGGGTGGCCCTCTTATATAATAGAAGGAGTGGGTCGATAACGC